CGCTCTTCCTAAAGGAGTGAGGTGCTCCCAAGGGCAGTGGACTGCTGGGGGGAACGCAGGGACGCCGGGCGTCACAGGGCGGCTCACGGGAGAGTCACTAGTTAATGACCGCTCCTATGTGTCAGGCCGTTGATTATCTCATGGGAGCTTTGTTTCAGCACCATCATCCTCCCCAGAATGGGGAACTGAGGCTCAGTGATGTGAAGACACTTAACCGAGGCATGAGCCAAGTAATTGAACCCACAGTTTTCAAATCCCCAAGGATCTGAACCCACAGTTTTCAGGGTGGGAGAGAGGCTGAGTTGTCGCATGGGGAGGAGTCCGCCATGGGGACAGGGTCCTCGTTTGGAGCCAGCACCATGTGGGCGGCTTCCTGGCGTTCCGCTCTCAGAGGCACCCCTACTCACAGGTTTCTGCTGCAGCTCACACTGGACGGGCTTTGTCAGTGTCTGTGAGGCTGGATGGCCACAGATTTGTAGACCCTGGATCTCCTGGGCTGGGGCCACCTCCCAGGTCCCTGGTCCCTTGACTCCCCCGATGGAGTCTTCTCCTGGTGGTTCTGGCTGCCTGGCATTTAAGAGCAGCTGCCATTTATCGCCCGCTCATCAGGAGGTGGCTAAGTGCTTTCACACAACGTTCCTCCCAGCTCTGTGAGGGGCGCTGTTCTCACTCTGTCTTAGACGAGGAAACTGGGGCTCAAGGAGGTGAAGCCACCCATTGGCCTGTCACTAGGGATGGAGACACAAGTGCTCACATAGGGAGGATGTCTTTTCCACATGAGCCAAGGACCTGCATCAGTCAAGCTGCTCCAGGTAGGGGAGGTCAGAGCCTGCTCCACCTGGAGCCTGGGGAGTAACGCTAGCTTTGAAGTGCAGTATAATGGTGACTTTTCCCCAAGGCCAGCTTTTAGGAGACTACAGGCAGGGTGGTGGCCAGCCTTCCCTCCCAAGGCAAGCACTGCAGGGCTGGAGGAGGGCTGTGACAGGTGGGGCGGCTCTGGCTGGGCCCAGGCAGGCTAGCATCAGCACAGAGGAGCCACGATCTACAGCCACTGGAACCACTTCCAGTGCTTTGAGAAGATTTGTTATTTGAATGTTCACGGCCAGAAAATGCAAAATGAGTGGGCAGTGGTATCTGGTGAACTCTAGAAATAAAGGCATTTCTCCAAACCGACGGGGGCTCCCAACTGCAGAACCACAGACACCTTTCCCAGCAACATACTGGGAACAAGTGGCCGAACAGAACGTATCCCAGGAGGGCCATTCTACGGCTCCCTCTCAGGGACAGATCTTGAGGATCTGGGGGAAGAGGGCTGCAGCAGGCCACTCTCCTCATGGGGAGTCTGGTCTGGGGAAGCTGTGGGCTGGCAACCGAGTAGAGCGCCTCGGTCCCAAAGCGAGTTCAGGAAGAAGAGATGATGATGATGATGATGATGAACGTGATGGGGATGATAAAGATGACGAGGACGGGGAGAGGATGGTGACGACGAGGAGGGTCAGATGATGGGATGATGGTGATGACGGGGAGGATGGGTACCAGGCAACGTGCTAAGCAGTACTCGTTCACTATCCTATTTAATTACACAATACTGTGGGGCAGGCACTGTTCTTATCCCCATGTTATAGACAAGGAGTCTGAGGCTTAGAGAGGTGGAGTAACTTGCTCAAGGTCACAACATAGGGAAGAGGAAGATGGTTGGTGCCGTTAAGGTGGAAGCAGCCGGGGTCCTGCTTAGGCCAACAGCATCATGAGAATTCAGACTGGCTGAGGCAGGTCTGAAAGGCATCTTCTCCTCAGTAGTTTTCTACACATTAGGTGGTAGGTATCTTGGGGGTTAAATTTCAGGAAGCCCTGAGCCTCTGTTGCTGGTCCAGGAGTGGGGAGCAAGGAGAAGTCTTGGATAATGATTACATTGAGGCCTCAGTAATCTTGTCTTAGCAGAAGTACCAGTCCCCCCCACCATTCTTCTATCTCAAGTGCACAGAGCCCCTGGTAGGAGCGTACCTGTGGAAGGGTTCAAGTGATGCTGTTCCTCAACAGTGTCCACCTGTACCAGTAAACCCTTGCTGGGAAGCCGTCCCATTGGACCAGGTCTTGGTCCTTGCCGCTACCTAATGACTTACCCTCATCTGCAGGCGGGAAGCTGCCACCCTAAGTTCTGCTGGGCCTGGGATGTCCCTTCCTGCAGTACTTGTTAAAGGACTTTTGCTGCCTGGGAATCACATTTTTCTCTGGGTAGCGTCCCTGATCCACTGAGTGGGTCCCTAGGAGCCATATCTGCACTGCATGCTTAGCTGAGGGGACAGAACCACCCCTGATCCAAGCCAGGTCAATCAGGTTTTCTCTCTTGGCAATTAAGAACCAGATTTGAGAGGCTGATGGTCAGGCTCTGTGGCTCGCTGAAGCTATAACATGTAAACTTGGGAGCTATGAGGCATCAGGCTTCCCCAGTGTGAGCTGAGCGGTCTAGACATCTGGGCCGCAGGAGAGAAGAGCATAGCAGGTATGCACGGAGAAGGGCCAACACCAGATGGAAGGAGGGCCCTGTCCACCTTCTAGGACCTGACTCTGAGCGGTTGTAGGTGCTAGACAGAGAGGTTGTAGGCAGAGATTTCTCAGCTACCTGTGAAGCCGCAGCAGCTAGCAGACAGGGCCCAGCCCTTGTCTGTCAGGGTCCAAGGACAGGATCAAGCAAAAGGCCAGGGACTGTTGCCCACTCATCTCTCCCAGAGGGGCCTGAGCTCCTGGGTGGAGCCTAACTCACCAGACGTCAGTGTCTGATGCTGACAACAAGGCAAGAGATGTCATCTCTGGGGGAAACCAAAATCAGGAGCTTGGCACATCACCCAAATGGGCTACCACCCAAGGCAGAGCAGCAGAATGGAGCAACAGGATGGACCCGGGGAACCAGACTGAGGGGTAGGAAGGGGAGGGCCACCAGCCTGGGGGGTCCTGGGCCTCAGCCACAGGGGATGGGGGCGGGGCAGT